CTGGGAAGAGGATGAAGTAAAAATCAGTTGTTAGTCAGCGGTGTGTTTGTCCAGTCGTTTTCTGTGTTCTCGTTTTTTCGTGCCCAGTTGACCCGATTACCAACAGTATGTACCAGCTAGCTCACCTAAAACACGCAACTCTGGAATCAGATGACCGACATATTGAACCGCAACTTACCTCAATTGAAGAAGTGCTTGCAACGTGTATCGAAATAATGTTTATGCTTGTGTTGTTGTTTTGCCTGCTTTGCTCAATTCTTGCTTGTATGTGTCTTTTCAAGAAATGCGTGAAATTATGTAACCTTTTTTGTTTGCATTTATTGTAATCTGCGTTGTTACTACCAAGTGCACCTATCTGCAGGCTTCGGCCGTTGTTGGACGCTTAAAAGAAACAAATACAAATCTTTAGTTGTTGTGTAGTCTTTGTGCAGGTGCGACTAAAGTCAGTGGATGCAGGGAAAGTAATGCCAAGTATGGTCGCCATTTTGGTTCATGGAATGAGCAATTTCTTCTTGACCTCTCCATTTTTGGTGAGCCAATCTAAATTTGCCGGGGACGGATAGCTTTACAGAGAAGTTTCTGGTACACAGCGATCTTTCTATCCACACACCGGCGAAACAAGCGTACATCATCTTACCGCCACCACACGTGCTGTCGGTGCTTGGAGGCACATGAAAAATAATTTTCTTGTCTCGAAATACGCAACAAGAACAATATCAATGTAAGAGATTCGTGTAGATGGGCATGACTGATCATTTAATTGCGTAGACAGGGCCGAAGACGCTTATGTTGGCGAGGAACGCCTTCAGTACGATGATGCACCATTGTAATCTCGGCGGGACTGCTTCAGAAGGACCCTCACGGAAAAACATATAATTGGGGGTGTGTGGATATTTAGACAGCGTACACTTGGTCAGCCATTTCAAAGTTGCGACGAGTCACTCGCTGTAGATGAGCAATTTAGCCAGTGCAGTGCAATCGCTAGCCTGGTGTCTTTAACGGGCACGACGCAGTAGTGATACACGACCGCACGCCGGTACGATACTCATCCAGATCGAAACGGGCAGGGGTGGGGATTGAACCCACGGTCCTGGGTTCTGCAGCGCAAGCCTCCGCTCTATGTGCTCCGAGCTGGTGTGCGCTAGCCCACTCGGCCACCGATCCCCCAGGACCCTCTCGAAGCTTCGAAGATTTGAATGGACGGAAATGGCGATTGCAGGGCAATGAACACCGATTAGCCAATCGCCCTGCAAGGTTTTGGTCGTATGTAGTATCTGTTTGTGTCCGACTAGATGGGCAGGGAAGGCGATACTTTCCCAGGATCTAGTGACCTCAGGTGCGACCACCCGCTGCATCTTTGCGCGTGAAGAGCACGAGGCGGCAGTCTCGTGCTCTGCCGGGAGGCCTCTAGTGTGGACTGAGGTGATGGAGACGTCGCGCGTGCGCCGAACCGTTTGGTGAGATCGGTATTCTGTCTCCTGCCGGACATCCTCTGGCCACTCGTTTGTGACGCGGGACAAAACGTTGGCATCCTCGATTGCCAAGCGCGTGAGAATGAAGGGGCCCGCAAACCAGGGTGGGATAGGACGGCACTGTGAGGCAGGGCCGCTAGGAAAGACTGCTGAAAGTCCAGAGAGCTTTCTTTCTCCGGATGTGGGGAAGGATGGGGAAAAGGCACCGCTCTCTCTCACAACAGCCATGATCTCAGTCAAGGAACAAGAAGTCGGTTTGAATACGTTATCTTTCGATGGTTATGTGAATTGCAGCACAAATTGTACCTTGAGGATATCTTAAAAGTAACGAGTTATTGTTGCTTTATTTATTGACATCAAAATGCCGCCGACCGTCATTAGGGTCATTAAAGGCGAGTTTTCTCTCATTTCATCTAACGAATCAAAAAATAAAACAGGAGCCTTTAAAAAAAAAAAAAAATAGACACTCACATTGGTAAAGATAGCATGCATTATTCTAGAACAACACCAACACCAGCGGCTTAAAAATGCCAGAAAATAAAGTAAACCAAAAATACACGCACGTAAGTTTTCTTACTAAAAATGTTTAACTTGCTTCACACAATGCTGTCAAGAATATATACGAATCAGGCACATGAACATCGTAAATTATTAAGAAATGCTCGGGGGAATCTAAGACAACAATCTTTGGAAAAGAAGGTCCCACCCATCTTCGTCAGTTGATGGAAAAAATAGTTATTAGAATGGTTGTTCTTTAGGAAAGAGTAAACAATGACACCCATTAGCTCTGTTTCTGAATGGTTGTATAAATTTAGAATGACTATTTACGAAAGAAAGGATTAACCGGGGCTTCAAATACTGGCTCTGATCAATGTTGAATAGGTCATGATACACCATAAAAATGAACTTTTGTCGAGCATCTCAGGGTCTGTCAAAAAGGAGCGCAAGGCCGATTTGATTGAACACAGCGCTAACAGAGTCCCTCTATAGCTGCCAGTTGCTGTGCCTTTTCGATTTCATGCATGTTTTGTTTTAAATATTTAGTATTAAGTTACTAGCAACCTTATTTCATATTTAGTGCTATACTCGAATACTTTTCAGGCTGAGTTCAACCTATTCAGTTATTTTACCAGGTACTCAGTAACTTGAGCTCCTTGAGCAAGCCTGGCTAGGATAAATGCCCGAAGCAGTCGCGGCAAGTGATCCTTACAGTGCTAACTAGTCAGCCGTCTCCCTCTCCATACTCCATATCTTGATACTCTGTAGGCTCTAGTTGGCAACGCCCCCTCCTGGCCTCAAACAGCAATGTCCCGCTCGCTGAGGAACTACCAGCGATCAAACTTGGAAAATTACGTGTCATTCCTGAACGCGTCTTCGAATGACCCCGTTCGTGGCCATGGCTCACGGGGTCCCACTTGCTCCGTTTGTTTCACGGGCTGGACTGGGGACGACGAGTTCTCCTTGCTGACGAAGGAGAGAGGGTGCCTGGGAAAAATGGGAACTGCTGTTCGAGTTGGGGACAGCCGATTGGAGTTAGTCGAAATACATTCAAAAATACGAAAGGGTGGGACAAACAGGACAAACCGAAAGATGTTTGTCCTGTCCGTCCTTTTGTTTAACTCTGACGTATTTTTGAATGTATTACCAAAGCGCTCAATCCAAGAAATACATCCTTTGTCAGAGGCTGGTCGCCGCGAACATGAGATTCGAGAACCTTTTACAGGCGCATGGTAAGAAGCATTAGAGTTTTTTTTTCTTTTTTTTTTTTCAATTTTTATGTTTCTGGAATTTCTCCAAATAAAGGCCAGAACGAATAAAGGTTTTGCCAAGGAATGTTGGAGCTTATTTTGCCGCACAAGGAGGGAGCGGAACGGGCTGCCAGAGAGCGGCTGGAATCACCGTTTCCGAATTCGTCTAGGTATGTCAGTCACTGACAAGGTGAGAGGGAGGAGCTTCAGTTGTTTCGCCTCCAGCTTCCTATGTTCCACAGCGCTTCGGTGCGCACCAAAGAACGGCGGAAGGCACGGAGGTCACCTAACAGCATCAACTGTTGTTCAGTTTTCCGATAGCCTCAAATAACGCAACTGCTACGTGAAGTTTTCCCGTGGTCGAGGGTCACCTCCGCCGTTTCACCCGTTTATTAGTGCGTATTTACGCTCCGATACCGAAGCTTGAAACCGGGGGAGGACGCCATGTTTAACTGACTGGTGCAGACCAAAAGCGGAACCGGAAGTCTTGGTATTACGAACCTGTTTGGCTAGAGAGATCAGATGAGCTAACCAACGGTTATAGAGACATTACTGTCAGACTTTTAGTTATAGCCGAGTTGAAAAACTTTCCGATCACCCCTAGAGCTTATTCGCCGCTTACTAGAATCAGTCCCAGCTGTAGGGTCGATAGCATATTGAAATAAATAAATGAGTTTCTAGGCTCGGAAGGTACACGCGTCATGTGCCCTGTGCTCAGCATGTTTAGTGCTGCCGGAGGAAAAAAAAAAGAAAGGGGGGGGGGGGGGGGGGGGAGGCTTTTTAAAGGCATTGTGTTGTTGAGCGATGGGCCGAGCGTTGCAGCCGTGTTCTGCTCGCCTGCCCTCCTCCCCGCAGCGCTCGTTGACTGGGCCCCGGTTAGCGCTGGCAGTCAACGACAACGAGAGGGGACGGCACGTGAGCGAACCTACGAGTGAGCTCACGCTCCAAGCATCCCTTTGGACCATCAACTACACGGCATGTCCGCCACCTATTTACGCGCATCGCTGGATTCGCTTTCACTTTTAGCTAGGAACGATTAGTTTTGACACCTCGAATTTACGAAGGAGAATAGGCATGCTGAGAAAGACGCCGCGCCGGCGTTGCGAAGCACCTCAACGAGAGATCTTCCCATGCCAGACAGGTACTTCTGGCCGGTGCCATTTTCTGCGTTCGTGCGTATGGTGCAGTGCCTCGCCCGCTTTGCGAAGCGCGAACATGCGCGCGGCTCCGATTCTTTTGTTAACATTGGAACGGTGCATAGTCAGTAACAGGACGAGAGAGAGGTTGCGCAGTGGTTAAGCGCACATTTGCCTTCGATCATGCTTCCCCGTAAACCTCAAAGAGCCAGAATACGACAGACGGCAACTAGGCACCCGAAGGAAACGCGGTTCGCATAATCGGCGGTATACAAAGTGCATCAGGTTTAGTTAGTGTCCCCGATTTACTCCGAATAGCTGGGCGAATTGCAGCGAAACCTTTTTCGGACTTTCTGTCCATGTTTATGGCCGTCGTGCAGCGCGAGTTCCGTCGGGGCGGCGCACTGCTGGCAGCGCGAGTGATCGTGCGCACCCAGTGCACGAGCCACAGGTGTCTCGCGAGCGGACGAGTCCTCGCACGAACCGTGGGCGGAAACCCCGGCGGGCCCACGGTCACCTTGCAGTGCACATGAGTCACCGGCTGTTGCCGCTGCGAGTGGCCAGCTTGCCGGCGATCGCGCAATGTGTTATCGTGCACGATAAAGTGGCGACGGGCCGTCAAGCGGTGCGGGCCGTCGACTCACCCGTGGCGGGGCTATCCTAGGGGGCTCCAGTCATGCGGCCGAGGGGCATCCTCGGGGGTCGGGGACCCGTCGGAGAGCAGGAAGCGAGCACCGCATCCCTCTCGAATCAACACACCCCTGATGGACGCACTGGACGTCGCACACGTCGGCACTGCACCAGCGCGGCTGGGACGGCGGCGTCGACGGCTGGGTTACCGGTCACGGCGCTGGCACGCTGCCTGAGCCCGCCGAGAACACGCACGGGGAGGCGAAAGCTCGGTGTCGGACAAGTTCGTAGGGTCCGCGGCTAGCCACAACACAACTCCGCCATGATTGCGAATGCCCCGCAAGTGTTGCTTACGCCAGGCGGTGACTCATCGGCGCTGCGAGGCCCAAAACCTGGCGCGGCAGGGAACGGCGCTGCTTCCTGATGCGCTTACCTCCTCTCTCAGCGGCCGCGCCTCCTCCTCTCCGGCTCCATTCACCCGCGCTGCCGACGGGAGCGGCGCTTTCCCGCACAGCTTCCGTCGCCGCAAACACCGTATCGCTGCGGGATGCAGCGAGCCGATTGTGCGCAGTTCTCCACGTATACGCCGCAAACCCGATAGCGCCGCTTTCGAGGGAAACAAGTCTGCCAGGGCTTCGACATTCGTCAAATGAGACAATAAAGTTATTTCCTCAATAAACTTATTTTCTCCTCAAATGCAACGAATGTACGACAGCACAGCAGACAGCAGTTTCATGCAAATAAATTTGACAAAAATTTTTTTTTTGTTGTGTGTATATTTTGCTTCATCTTAACTCCCAGCGCAGCCAAAGGCTGGGAGACGGTTCACCACTCGGAAGAGAGCGTTCGTGCGCATCACGATGTAGTACGCAAAGGTAAAATTTTGGAAATATTTTGTTCGTGCCAGTGGCGGATCCAGGGGGGGGGGGGGGGGGGGGGGGGGGGGGAGCGACGGGGGCGGCCCCTCTTCCCCAAACAAACTCGACCCCCCCGGTGCACAAGAAAGAATGGGAGAACAGTATCCTTACAAATCCGCCCCCGGTTCGTGCGCGAACATTGGTGAATTTTCCAGTTTTGTCCCACTAAAACTAACTATAAAAAAATTAAACAAATTGCGTCCCACGTTCTTTATAATATAGTAATGAATACGCTTCGACGAAAAACGCCTACCTGCTGGCAACACCGATGCGAGTACTACACGTTCACTCCGTGCATAGAGATAGATCCATTCATTCATTTCATTTGTTTATTTTCTGTGCGCATGAACAGCTTGACGCCTTGGTAATGGTGCACAACAAAATGTTCACAGGTTAGTTACAAAAGTCTTAAAAGCTACGAAATTTGGGTTAAAAACATCAATATCTGCCCCCCTGAGGGTATTGTAGAAGTGTTGAATACGGCTCATGGGACTAGTTGGGATGATGCGATTAACATGGAAAGTTGGAAAAACCCGCACAACTCGACTCGGAACGTGAATATTAATTGAAGATGTGAGATCTGGGCAATCAATTAATCCATGAATACATTTATACAAGAAAACAACATCGCGCTCACGCCGTCTGGAACTCGAAGTAGGGCATTTGCATCGTTCCAAGAGTCTCGCATAAAGATAATAAACAGTACGACCAATGAAACGATCGAAAACAATTCGAAAAAAAAAAACGCTTTTGAACATTTTCAATCATCTCTTGGCTCGTAGAACTAATAAAATTCCAGACTACATAGGAAAATTCCACCTTGGTCCGGATCAACGAGAAATATAACCCAAAAATACAGGTTGATGTGGAAAACTCACGCGTGATTCTAGAAATTACTCCCCACCTTACGCAAAGAGCCATTTATAAGGTTGTTGACATGTACAGTAAAATATAACGAAGAGTCTATGTATACACCAAAGATCATGCGTGCACTCGACTCTTCGCAGAGGATCATTGCCAATCTGGTAACAAAAGTTAATTTTTTCTACCTTTCTAGACAAAGACATAATAACTTGGCTCGTTGTAAAAGAGACAGTTGTAAAAGAGACAGTAAAAATTAGGTCGATCGGCAATTGCATAAGCCAGGCGTCTATGCTTCTTAGTGATAGGGCGAAAGCTTTTCTGCGAGTATGAAGTGAACAGGTTTTGTGTTTTTTCGCCAGAGGTGCCTCCTTTGTCATGTTCTTGTTCCGTTTGTATACTTATGTAAAAAAAAAAAAAAAAAGAAAGGTGTAACAGGGTGATGGGTTCGAACTGCAGTCGGTTCCGTGTGGATCGTTTCTTTGTTTTTTTTTTGTAAAGATAAGAGTGGCTGCGAGGTCAAAGAATGTTACCTTCGGCCGACGTTTTGATGTGTGTGTAGCTTTTGTTAGTTCAAAATTATTCGTTGTTTTTTTGTTTTTTTTTTAAACATTGTTGTGGCTGCGAAGTCAAGACGTGTCCCCTTGGTGCCTTTGTTTGAAGTGTTTTTTATGGTGACGATTTTGGGATCAGGATGTATAAAAGGAGGGAGAAATGAATAAAGTGGTTAGCTGTGTTTGAGACGTCGTCGTGTTTCTTCCACCCAGTCTCAGGTGATCTAAAAAAATGGTAAACATAATAACGGTTTTAGAAGGATTGAGCGTTAGCATGTTCTGACGACACCGATTGCACACACGCCTAACATCCTCCATAAGATTTTCACAGTCTTGACATCATCTGCATATTGCAAGACGACCGAATTGCGAACAATCGAGCTCAAATCATTAATAAAAAACATTGAAAAAGATCGGCCCAAGTATGGAGCCTTGCGGCACACCCTAAGAAGAAATGTAAGGCCGGGAGTGATGTCCAAGAACACGAACAAAATTGTGTCTATTGGACAAATAATCTAGAAACAGGGAAGAAAGGGAAGTACTCACGCCGTACGATTCTAGTTTGTGTGTAAGGAGCGAATGGTCTACTAGGTCAAAAGCCTTAGAGAGATCAAAATATACAACATCGACGTGTCCACGTTGACACACAGTAGGCGAGACAGAATTTAAAAAAAAAAGACACCATATTTGTCTCAACAGACCTTCCACGGATAAAGCCGTGTTGTGAAGGGCTTATCTTATGCTTAAAAAAGTTTGAAATGCACTCAAATAAAACAATTTTATAGACCTTAGCAAAGGGAGATATTAACGACACAGGCCTGTAATTTTTTACGTCATCCGTTCTGCCATTCTTATGTACTGGCACAGTAATAGAGTACTTCCACAGGGGCGGCGGAGAAAAGCTCACCGGAGAAAAGCTCACCGGAGAAAAGCTCACCGGAGATAAGCTCACCGGAGAAAAGCTCACCGCAAAACCGGCAGATGCGGAGAAAAGCTCACCGGCCTTTGAGCGGATGCGGAGAAAAGCTCACCGATTTTTTCTTTAACTTAGCAGATTCTGCGTCAAACGTGGTAATTTAACACAATTCGCATTCGTCACTTCATTAAAAATATGTCCTCTTTTTTATGATATCGTTGAAGTTCATTGGGCATATTTACTAAATCCTCAGAAATTAGTAATCAGCCATTTTGTATATTAATGAAGCCGCAAGGGTATAAAATCAGAACATTGTTCACCGGTAAAAAAGAAAACAATGTATTGACAACTGACAGTGTGCCGCAGGCACGTAGCCAGGATTTTGTTTCGGGGGGTGCCCGCCCATGACAAAATTCTGTGAGGGGAAGGGGTGAGAGGAGGGTCCCAGCAAAATGGAAGATTCCGGGGGGGGGGGGGGGGGGGGCATGGGCCTCCCTCCTGGCTACGTGCCTGGTGCGTCGTCGGTAGCTCTGTCAAATAAAGAGGTTTGTGCTTTGTGAGCTAATATGAATAGCGGTGTGTGAACCGTTTCAGCTCCATATATTGCGTAGTGCCTAATAGATAAGTAGGTGTTGATGTAATCAGTGTCGGCTACGCTGTTTTCTTACTGTTAATTTAACTAACAAAACTTCAGTTGCGAGAAAAGCTTCGTCCTGTCGTGTTGTTGTCTTCACTCCGTCGTCGTCGTGCGAGCGGTTTTCATCATGTATAATGTTTACCTATTCGCCCTATTCGCTACCTTAGAGAAGTCTAGTTCTTGAATAGGTCACGAGTAACAACGGTGACAGTGTGCAGCCTAAAGGTCATGGGTGGCTCATCGTAGAGGGCACTATCACACAAAGGCAAGGTGTGAAAACACCAGCACGAACGGCTAGAAAACGTTCATGTTCGTATAACAAAGAAGCCCCGATATCCTACTGACTGTTTTATCCTGTTTTCAAAGGTTAACAAAAGCTTCAAAGAGAATTTCAGGCACCGCGTTGTTGCGCATGCACTTTCGGATTTACGGCATTTAGTTTTGATTTTTAGGTTTTAGGCAGACACTATTTTTCTATCTTTTTCCTGTTCTTCCAATTCATGAAGTTTTCAGTTAAGCTTTCGTTGCCTAGAGAGTTAGCCACAGGAAACACTCGTTCGCAATTATTAATTTGGGAGCAATATACCCAATAAGCTTGACAAATAATATAAAAAGGACATTTTCTTTCTTACAAAGCTGAGGAATTTTAATGATAATAAATTTATATATGTTACGCATGATTTAACAGGCTCCATATAAAAAAGAAGGGAAAAAATCGGTGAGCTTTTCTCCGCATACGCTCAAGGGCGATGAGCTTTTCTCCGCATCCGCCGGTTTTCCGGTGAGCTTTTCTCCGGTGAGCTTATCTCCGGTGAGCTTATCTCCGGTGAGCTTTTCTCCGGTGAGCTTCTCTCCGGGATTCCTTCCACAGGGAAGGAAATGTAAGGCTCTGCAACGACAAGTTAAAAATATGCATTAAGACGGGCGCAAGAATAGAGGAGCATCCTTTAACAATGAAGCTTGGAATGCCGTCAAATGCAACTGATAACTTTGGCTTCAGTTTCCTGATAGCAAGTTCAATATCAGTAATTTCAAAAGATAGAATTGACAGGTGATCGCTGGCATTATCGCTGACGCCATGCACAGGCAGTCCAGTTTGGCCGCAAGAATAAACTGAAGAAAAATAACTCGCGAATGCATTTGACACATTTTCGGGCTCAGACAGCATATCACCTAACGAGTCAGCTATGTTTATTGATGACGAAGTTGTTGTTGTGCGATCCTTTACATATCGCCAGAAAAGCATTGGGTCACGATTTAAGCTGCGCTCTACTGACTCATGGTGTAATATTTTATCGCGCTTCAACAATGTCTTAGCCAACGCACGCGACTCAGAAAATTTTAGGTACCAAAAAGCGGAATTCGTAACCTTATATTTCCTATGATAATGCAATTTTTTTTTAGAACTGATCTAAGCTCTTTGGAGTACCAGTGCAAATAAAGACTTGTGTAAGGACGCTTTTTCGAAACGAACTTTTCAAGTGCA